TATTACAGTGACAAAATTAGCCAGCGTGAGCTCCTGTGTGTCAGTATTGTTGGATTTATTAAAAAAAAATTAGTACACTGCATCATGGTACTTGTCTTTTTTAAATACACATCTCTAGCTTTGGTTTTCATGCTTTTGGTCAGTTCAGTGGAAAGAGAATTTTAGAAGTTTTGTCTGATTTGCAGGCCACAGTGGCTAGCTAAAAGCTGATCTAAGCCTGGTTGAAATGGCTTCACTTAATCAAAAACTAATGAAATTCCATAATACGCTGTCCATTTAAAGCTTTTCTCGTTTTCCCCTCTACTTTTTCCTTTTAAAAGAACTTTTGTCACTCAGCAAGAGGATAAATATAGCAGACAACTAGCTTCTTAGATATTTAAATCCGTTTAGATGTTAATTACACACCTCTGGAACAGGTGGGATTGAACCCAGGCCTCCCAGCTCAGATGTATGGTCACTACCACTACTCTACAAGAGCCCCAGATCTAATTTTGAGTGCAAATCATGGATAATTACAGCTATAGAAATGCATTGTGTTTGGGTTAAAGCTTAAAGTATCTACCTTTCCATAGGGAGTAATAGTTGTCACATCTGTTTTGAAGTTAATACATTTTTAATTGCTTTGATCATTCTCAATTTTTTTTCAAAACATTGATAATATGTATTGTCACCCAAAGCAGTTGGTTGATTAGGTGCACACATAGGAAAGATTAATTTGCCTAATGTAGTTTCTTTTGAATGTTGTTTTTTTTTCAGGCAATTGTAAAGCCAGGACCGAAGGCTTCTGTAATGCTCAATTTATAAGGTGTATTTTGTTAAGATGAGTTGACACTTTTAAAAGCTGAATTTCTGTCGTAATTTGGTTTGAGGTCAGATTTTTCAAATAAACTTTTTTAATATTGAAATGTTTACATTGAATTTGTGGGTACCTAATATGAATTGTGAATAGGTCAATTTAGGATTTCATTTTGGATTTTACTTCTGCGTCACCCAACATTAGTTTGTTTCTAAAGCATTTAATTGGTAACGTATCATTTTTGGCTCCTATATTCATGAAAAAGAAATATTTTCAGCTGATAATAATGTGTTTTCTTCGCTCGTTATTTCCTTTTCCTAGTTCAAGCTATGCATGCTTATGGTGCAGCAGTATCTTTATTTTGAGTTAACTTGTTTGTGGACCTGTCAAACGATTTTATATGCCAACCCGAATGGTAATGTTTTAAACACAGCTTCAGTTTTTTTTTTCCCAATTTTATATATTCTGAATTGGTACCCACTTGGAAAGCTATATACTTTGTAGTGATCGCATAAAGTTATGACACAACATTATCTGCAATTATTTAAAGTTGAGTAACTTTTTTAAATGAATTTTATGATTTGAGTTTATTCCTCAATCAAACTGAACAAGACAGTGTTTTTAATTGCAGTTTAAGAAAAGATTAGTCTGTTCTTGGTACCGTTACTTTGCTGTGGCATAATGTAAAATGAAATCCCAGCCAACTGTGGGGCTGTCATGGATACATACAAAGTTTGGCAATAGTCTTACTGATGGCAAGAATAGACAAAAACCTTTAGCTGACACGGAATATCTCCCATCACACATTCATGTTTTACGGAACTTTATTTTCTTATGTATCCTTGTTATTGTTAGAGCGTTTATTTTCCCCTCCAGTTTTTAGTTGAATATATTTGGGGCAAGTGCCAGTTCTGAAAGACAGTGAAATAGGAACCATTTACGCTAAATGGGAACACCTCAAATACAGATTTCAAACCAAGCGGCAGATTTTTTTTTGAGTTATCTGTGTGCCTCTAATTTTGGTCTCTTGTGTTCCCAGTTTTAATTGCTGTACCATTGGTGTCCCTGCCATCTGTTGCCAGGCCCAGCAGCTGGAATTCCCTCTTGAGATAACTCTGCTTATCTATTCATTTGCTTCCTCTGAGTCACTTCTTAAAACATACCTTTTTGGTTATTTAACTTAACACTGAGCCATGCGAAGAGTTATTTTGGTTCATAATGTTTGTTAAGCACTGGGATGTCTCATTATGTTAAGTGCTATATAAATATAGATTTTTTTTTTTGTTACAATCTTATGTTGAGTGCAGAATAACTTTTGCATATATTATGCCTGCATTTCTTCTAAACAGGATTAATATCCTAATCATCTATTACTACTTCACCTGTAGTCTGCATTTGGCCTTGAACCTCTTCAGGATATGGATTAGTGTTTATAAATTTTATTCCTAAACAGAATTTATTTTTGAGGTGCCTATTTTTGTTTTCATAACTTTTTAAATTAGTATACAGGTAATATTTCACAATATTGCATTCACATGACAGCTGAAACACAAAAGGAAGATAAATATTTGTAAGATTTGTGGGCTAGAAATTTTTTTGGAGTTAGTACTTATTGAGCAAAATGTTCAATTGTTGTTTTTTAAACCTAATAAGGGAAGTGGATGTAAATACCTTTAAGCTTTTCAAGGTATTAAGTGTGATACGATCCCAGTTGACTTATTACCAGACAAGTCAGATCCCAGATTGAATTCTGGGTTGATTTTTCTTTTGGTTTAACAAAGTGGTTTTTCACTGAAGCACAAACATGCAATGCTGTAGATTTGGGATTTAAAATAAAACGGAAGTTGAGTGCGTAAAAGGAATAAAGCTAGAATATGTAAATAATTTTGTTTACTCTATAGTACATAAAGATCTTGAAACGTGGCATTAATATGATCGAATTTTTACCAACAATGTCACCTTGCAGTACTCAAACATAAGAGAATTCTATTCTGTTTCCTGCATAGGGTTTGACTTACTGAAAACAAAAAGCATTAGAGATCTCAGTGGGTCAGACAGCATCCATGGAGAGAGCAAGCTAATGTTTCGAGTCTAGATGACTCTTCTTCAGAGCTCTGTATTTGTTTTCAGTACAGATTCCAGCATCTGCAGTAATTTGTTCCTACATAGGGTTTGACTTAGTTGTGGCTTCAATTCCTGGTCATGCAAATCTGATGGCATTTTAGTTTGTGATCTAACTTAGCATGAATTTTTCTCACCTTCATATAACCGCTTCACGTTTTTATCCAAACACTTTTTTTGGTCTGGAACGTTTATATTAAGCTTCCTACATCATGGTAACCTCTTAACAGTCCTAAGCAACCTCCCTTTTTTTTTTAGGAGCATCCTGTATCCCACATCCAACTTCAGCCAAGACTTCCACAAAAGTGAAACTAAAGCCTTTCTTCAAGCTAGTGGTGTTTTTCCCCAAAGACCAGAGTAGCTACTCCCAGAATCTACTATCTGAAAGCCTATGTACTACCCTGTTTACTTTGTTCGCTCCTAAACTCTCCCAATGTAAACAAAACTCAGGAAATTTGCCAGAAAATTTCTCTCAAATACGGTTTTAAAAGAAATTGCCATGACTACAGAAATACGTAGTTTGTTCATTAAACCTATTAAGGCAAACCAAAATCTCATATGCCACTATTTCAAAATTCAAAACTCAAAAGCAAATGTTGTTCAAATATATATAAATCACACATTTGCAAGGCAAATGCATTGTGTGTATATAAAATGTATTTCTGTTCGATATGTTATGGGCAGAGATCATGCACAGCTCAACAGTTCATGTTTTTGCCATTCAGTGATTTACTTCTCCACAGAAGATATCGTGCACCATTTTATCTAATGTGGGTCCAATGGTTGCTTATGTGCATTTAAAAAACAATAACCAAAGAAAACTTGAAGATTTAAAAACAAAATTTTGTTGAAAAAGAAAAGCCCAAGATAACACAGCAATGTGAAGCTGTATTTCTTGGCCTGGAAAGTACATGTTTTGGTCACGAATACCATATTACTCATTGTAACGCTTAATAGTGCTGTGAATCTCTTAAAGGGCAGTTCGACAAATTTGATATTTAGTTTACATTTTCTCCAGTAAAACATTTTTGTTATTGGAAACTTATCTTTGTACGGTACCTGTCAATTTTAGATGGTTGCAACTTATCCAATTGACTCATTATAAAAATGTTTGCTGTTTGTCAGGATTTCCCAGAATTTAACTGTTGCAAATGATGGGACCACATATAACACAGATAATTCATATAATACAGTAATGCTGATGGATTTTGAGTTTTCTGCATTGGCACTTATCCACCAATGAGGCAAAATTGATAAGAATGACATTTTCCAGAACTCTCGACCCACAAAATCTAAATATGCGACCAGGATGTAAGAAAAGCAACTACAAATTTGACTGATTTTTCTGAAGCATTTAAGGCTTGAATTGTTATGGATTGTGGATCATTTACTGCAACTCAGAACTTGGTTTCATATCTTTTCAACAAATGTGCTAAAGCTTTTTGAATATTAAGTGGCTTTTGTATAATTCCCTAAGCTAGATTATTAACACTGCTAAAGACACGTAACCTAATAAATATAACCAACAAAATTTATAAGTTGGGTGGAGGAAATATCACAACTCAATCAGCAAACTTGTTCGTAGGATCCTTTGAGTTAAAGTGGCTGGTAATGTTTTTACTTTACATAATCATGCCTTGTATTTCCAATTAGGTAACAAATTGTCCTTACAGAAAAATTGCATCTTTATATTCCTAGTGACAACTGTTAGTGATTGTGAGCAAGGGATAGGCAGGCTCATTTAAAATAATCCTGAAAAAAAAGTTTAAATCTGAACTAGTTGAATAATAACCTTTGTGTAACGTAAAGGGTTGGTACAACTGAATGTATTTTATCATTGTTGTTTTGTCCCTTACTAATGTTTGGTTATGTTGATTTGGGCAATGTTCCACAGATTTCATAATTCCTATAAATTTTTGATTATGGCTTTTACTTTGTTTTGCTTAGCAGCAATATGAGGAAGCACTTTAATCATTGTGGTTTTCAGAAACCATTTTGAAAAACAAAAATCAGTGCATGAAAGCTGTTGTAGTGTTCTGCGTCACTGTATTGAATTAATGGATTTTGTATTTTCTCTTTGCAGCGGGGATCTGACGAACTTTCTGGCACCATTCTTAGCAGCTCAAACTCTACCATGAGCAGTGTGGTTGTTACTGGTAGGTCAGCTAGTCCATGTTTTAGAGCAAAAGTTCTTTTTATTTTGACATAACTCTTGCCTTAATTGATAACTATTAAGCGCACAGTACTGAATGAGTATGTGCTTCTCTACATGGAAGGATGGTTATGCATAGGTGATGTATTTGCTCTTTTTGATGATTCTATTTGAAATAACAACCCCATCATGCTTTTTTGGTCTGTGGACTGCTATCACAGTTGACAAATGAGAATTGGGAGAAAACAATCGGAATCTACCCAACAGGATAAATTTGAGGGGTGGTATTGTATGAGTAATACTTACTGGAACACAGAAATCCAGGGAGAAGATTCACAAGCTTGCCCATTTGCTTAGATGGGCCATCTTGAATTGTGAACCTGTAATGATGATCAACAATCGATATGAATTACTGTCCTTTTGATCTTGGTTCTCTAGCAGCATATCTGAAATTAGGAACACTGAGTGTAGGAAAGTTAAATATCCACTGCTATAGCAGTCTCCTAGATCTTCAAATCAGATATCCAGTCACATTGAGAAATCTTCTGAAATACTCCAGTGCAGTAGCTCTTCACACTCGAGAATTTAATTGACTTTTTTAAAAAAGAACTGCTATGATAAACTAGTTTTTATTATGTTTAGTTCAGGTACAAGTAAGAGCCAAATAAATGCAACTGTTATTCAATGGTGACCTGTTCAGTCTTGACAATGATTTGAGTCAATTAGGTGCCCAGACCAGTTGGATTTAGGATCAGGCCTCTATTGAATTTTTTTCAGCTTTCTATTTTTAAGTTCTAACCTTGAAGTCTTGAGATAATTCAGATCACTTGTGCATCTGTGATAGACTGGCATTGTGCATAGCAATGAACAAATTTTGTGGCTTTTGCACAGTAGAAATGGATGTTACTCCAAATTACTGAGAGGGTAGTCTATCTCTAGAATGCTATGGTATAGTACCTGAGATGATCACTGCAGTAGTCATGGCAGTTATGAATAGAACTTCTTCCTATTGATTTTGAACTAATCTTTTGAATGCATAGTTTATAATCTAGCTGACAACTTTTATTCTGCAGTGGCCTCCTCTTTCCCCCTCCCTGATGTCATTGTCCTCATGTAATGTATAATCCCACGTAATGGTCTCGGATTCGTATTAAATGAATGTCAGAATGGTTCACGTGATGTGGAATTGACAGCAATAATGTGCTGCAATAACGTACTTTATTACAAAAACAGAGGGGGCTGTCTGGGTGTGATTTTAGTTGGCCAAGAATACCTGAATTTCGTACTTTTTGCCCAATACTTAATGGTCATAGGAAATAGACAGCATGCAGGAGAATATTGAATCACGGGGCAACTTTTTTTTAAAAAAGGAAAATCTACTTACAAATACTTCAATGAACTCTCAACTATCAAGTGTATTCCATTCAACAATTGTCAGATTATGGCTGATTTGTACCTGAACTGCATTAAACTTCTGATTTATATCCTGATTTATTGGAAGGACCAACTGTCAGAACAGAATCCCCCATGGTTATTAGTGGCTGAAACTTGGTGTCTTCTTGACGTACGGACTACTTGCTTTGCAGTGCAAAGTAAAGACGATTGTGTGGGAACCCGAATTGATTAGCCTATTTTGGGTGATTATAATGCAAATTTTATGGGAACCCTGTTATAGTACAGAGGTAAGAGTTCCTACCCCTGAACTGGGAGACCTGGGTTCAAATCCCACCTGCTCCAGAGGTGTGTAATTGAAGTCTCAGAACAGGTCGATTAGAAAAATAGCTTAAAATACTCGATTGAGCCAAGTGTTTTACTGCAAAGAAATCCTTCTAATCCAATTAGATCTAATTTTCTCCTTCCCAAATTGCTGAGTTTTTCTGTTTGACTATATCCCAGGGAGAGGATGGGTGTTATTATCATTGGGCTAGTAATGCAGACTCGTGTTTGAATTCCCCAAAGCAGATGAGTTGAATTCGAATTCCACTAATCTGAAATTAAAAGTCTAATGACCGCAAAACCATTGTTGGTTGTTGTTCTTTGGGGGCATGGCTTAGTGTTTAGTGCTGCTGCCTCACAGTGCCAGGGATTTGGGTTTGATTCCAGTCTCAAGCAACTGTCTGTATGCGGTTTGCAGATTCTCCGTTCGTCTGCATGCATTTCCTCCCATAGTCCAAAGACCAATGCCAACACCCCTAACCGTCCCAACCTGGGGCTGAGTACCACTTGGAGGAAGCACTGAAGATGCCAAGGAGTGCAGACTGCTCTCTGTGGGAACTTCAGTGTTCGTTACCAAGTGGCTCAGCAACACCACTGACTGAGCTGATTAAGTCCTGAAGGACATAGCTATTTGTCTGGATTATGTGGTGAGGTAACCAACAAAGGGGAAGAACATTCTTGACCTCCTCACCAGTGCAGATGCATCTGTCCGTGACAGTAGATGTGACCCCTGCACAGTCCTTGAGGGGGTGAATTCACATCTTCACATTAAAGATAACTTCCGACATATTGTGTGGCACTAGCACCATATAAAATGGGGTGGACTTCAAACAAATCTAACATCTTGACTGGGCATCCATGAGGTGCTATCAGCAGCAGAATTGTACAGCAGTGCAATCTATTGGCTTATCTCTTAAACTACCATTACAATCAAGCTAGAGGATTAACTCTGCCCCACTGAAGAATACTGGAGGGCATGCCAACTGCCCCAAAATGAGCTGTGCTCCAGAATTAGTTGTGCCCCTTGCCAAGCTGGTTCATGCAGCTATAGTACTGGCATCTGCTCGGCAATGTGGAAAATTACCCAGGTATGTCCTCCACTAAAAGCAATCCAAAATCACCCTGGCCAATATCACCTACTCTTGATCCTTGATGGATGGGTTGATTGTCTTATATTTTAAAAAAAACTGCACTCGAGATATGGAGAGAGTGGCTGCCCTTTGATTGTGTGATATTAAGGAGCCCACAGAAGGTTGGAGTTGAACCTTGTACACGGATTCCTGGTTTTTGTCAGTGGTCGATTATCTTCGTTCCAGGACATCACTGCAGATGTTCCTCTGGGCCAGATCCAACCTCACCAGTTATCACGCCGTTACTGTGCAGTGATGGATGGAGTCATCAAGAGTGTGATCAAGTAGCACTTAATAAGCTGTTCACTGATTATTCAAGTTGCTCGGCTCCTGAACTCATCACAGCCTTGGTTTAAATATGGGAAAATGAGTTGAGCTCCAGAGGGAAGAGTGACTGTCCTCGATGTCAAGGCCATGTTGGACCGAGTGTGACACTAAGGAACCTGAAGCAACACCAGAGGCAGTTACAATGAATGGAAAATAGCACAAAGGAAGATGGTTCGAGGTGTTGAATGTCAGTCATCTCTGCTCCAGAGCTTCCAAGCAAGAGCTTCCAGGCCCAATCATCTTCAGCTTTCTCATCAATGATCTTAAATCCATCATAAGGTTCAAGATGGAGATATTTGCTGATGATTTCAGTATCCGAGGAGTCAGCTGCAAAAGTCCATATCCAAATGCAGCAAGACAAATTCCAGGGTCAGTCTGTCTGATAAAAGACCGAGTGGAGATAAAGTCTTTCTGGTAGGCAGCTAGTGACTGATGGAGTTGGAAACACACATGTATTCATGTTATACGTGAACGATTTGGGCGAAGGAACTGAGGGCATTGTTGCTAAGTTTGCAGATGCCACAAAGTTAGATAGTGTTGAGGAAGCAGGGAGGCTGCAGAAGGACTTGGACAGGCTAGGAGAGTGGCAGGTGGAATACATTGTGGGAAAGTGAGGTTATGCACTTTGGTGGGAAGAAGAGATGTAGACTATTTTCTAAATGGGGAAATGTTTTTGAAATCTGAAGCAGAAGGGGATTAGGGAGTCTTAGTTCAAGATTCTCATAAGGTAAACATGCAGAATCAGTTGGCTGTTAGGAGGGCAAATGCTATGTTAGCAAAAATTTCAAGATGCCTAGAATAGAAGAGTGATGATGTACTGCCAAGATTGTATAAGGCCATGGTCAGAACACAGTTTAGACTATTGAGCAGTTTTGGGCCCCATATCTAGAGAAGGATATGCCGGCATTAGAGGGGAGGTTTACAAAAATGATCCTGGGCACGAAAGGCTTGTCATATTGGGAGCAATTGAGGTCTCTGGGTCTGTACTGTATGGAGTTTAGAAGAATAAGAGGCTATCTTTATTGAAGTTTACAGATTACTGAGAGGTCTGGATACTGTGAACTGAAGAATATATTGCTGCTAATAGTAGACACTCTGACTCCAGGGCACAGCCTCAGTGAAAGGGCGACCCTTTCGAACTGAGGTGAGAAGGAATTTCTTCAGCCAGAGGTTGGTTAGTTTGTGGAACTCATTGCTACAGAAGGCTGTGGACTCCACGGCATTGAGTGTATTTAAGACAAAGATAGGTTCTTGATTAGTAAAAGAATTAAGGGTTATGGGAGAAGGCAGGAGAATGGGGTTGAGAAACGTATCAGCCATGACCAAATGGTGGAGCAGACCCAATGGGCCAAATGGCCTAATTCTGTTCTGATATCTTGTGGTCTGTGGTCTAACATTCATCCCTCACAAGTGACAGGCACTTACCATCTTCAGTAAGGGAAAATCTAACCATAATGCTTTAATGGTCAATGGCATTACCATCACTGAATTCCTGAATCAACTTTCTAGGGGCTAACTTTGACCAGAAACTTAACTAGACTGGCCATACAAATACTGTGCCGATGAGAGCAAAACAAAAGGTAGAACTCTAGCAGTGAGCAGCTCACTGCTTGACTTCTTGAAGCCTGTCCACCATCCATAAGACACAAGTCAGGAGTGTGATGGAACACTCCCCACTTGACCGGATAACTGGAGTTCCAACAACACTCAAGCTTGATGTCATCCAAGATAAAGCAGTTTGCTTCATTGGCAATGCATCCACCAACATTCACTTCTCCCCCACTGCCAATACATGGTACGTATTGCTGCCACTATCTACAAGATGCATTGCAAAAATTCACCAAGGATACTGAGACAGCACTTTATTAAAAACCCCACCACCATTACCATTTGGAAGGATAGGGGCAACAGATAGAAGGGGCTTCCACTACCTGCAAGTTCCCTCCAAGTCAGTTGTCATCCTAACTTGGAAATATATTGCTTTTCCTCTGTATTGCTGAGTGAAAATTTGGAACTCCCTCCCTATCAGTGTTGTGGGTCTACCTAAAGAGGTCCTCTGGGACAAGATTGACTTTCCTTTTATCTAAGTGGACTGCAGCGGTTCAAGAAGTTAGCTCATCGCCACCTTCAAGGACAATTTAGAGTTGTCAATAAAAGCTTATTCCACAATGAAAATTTAAAATCAAATGTTAAAGAACGTGATCTTTGATTTCACAGTGGGTATTAAGTTGCATCTCCATGTTAAATCCAAATATCATCTGCCCTCGCTTTGTTACTTTGCCAGAAAATTGCACAAGTGGTGTTGACTTCTTCTGTCAAAGGAGGTAGAAATTGAAAAGAGGCTATTCAATTGATTGATCTTGATCTGCCTTTTAGTTACATTATGGCTGATCTGTAGATCAACTCCAACTATTCACTTTGCTTCTGTACCCTTCAACACCCATGCCTAACAAAATTCTTGGTACTCTCCATTGAAAATTTCAAAATGCATTTAGGTCAAATATTTTGTAGAGAGATGGAGTTCCAGATTTTTCTGAAGAGGCACTTCCTTACATTTCTGAATAACCAAGCTGAAATATTAGGATTATGCTCCCTTGTTGTGGAGTCCAACCATAGGAAATTATTTCATTCTGCTAACATTTTTTTTTCTTTTACTGAAGTCAGTATATAGCTAATAATAGCTTCTTGGTGATTCTGCTCCACCCACAAACAAGAAAATTAATTCTCATGCTCATCTCAACATCCATACAAAAATCACTGTCCTGTGCTAAAAATGTATCTGCATAGATACCTTTGTGACTGGGAAGAAAGTTAACCATATTGCAGTAGAAATTCTGTTATTTAATTATTTTGAATTAAAATCCACTGTTTCAGTTTGTGACTGCCCAGTTATGGATGGAGGCAAATGATCCATGTTAATGTCGGATATAGTTACCACACTTTCGAAACAAATTTGTGCAATAAAGAAATTAGGTTTAAAAAATATTGATGGCATTTAATGACCAATTGGTACAAAGGCCTGCACCAGTTGATTTCCCGATTTTTGTTTTTTTTTTGTTTTGTTTCTGTTTCAATGTGTTGTTTCCTTCCATTGTGATTTTGGCATTTTTATACTGGAACTATATAATCTGATCAATATTTTGTCCTGGTTTCTAGAAAAACAAAGCTTTACTATTTTCCTTAACAGTAGGTTAAAAATATTAGTTACTGCTTGGAAGGGTTACTCTCGTACCCCACGCCTTGAATTGCAGATTTTTTTTTTTTGTTCAGTACTGAGATACTGAAAACTGATAATTTTTTTTCTTTTATTTGCATGAATTGTCTGATCTACTAATTTGCTAGGGTGAAGCAGTGTTATTTCATTTAGTTTTTATTTAGCAGTTTCTATCTTTTCAAAATTATTTGCCGAAAAGCTAGACTAATTTTTTTTTGCGGACACAGATTTTTCACTCTTTTCCATTTTTAGCTAAAAATGGATTTTCTTTATGTTCTGCAGCTAATGGCAGTGACAGCAAAAAATTTAAAGGTGACGATAAGATGATTGGTGCACCATCCCGTGTTCTCCACATTAGGAAGCTGCCTGGTGAAGTTACGGAAACTGAGGTCATAGCTTTGGGTTTACCATTTGGCAAGGTTACCAACATTTTGATGCTGAAAGGGAAAAATCAGGTATGTACAATCTGGAATGAATTGCTGTCCAGTGTATTCTTGTTTAAAGCAAATATATCCAGAAATGCTGTTTGATGCTTTCATTTGAGATGTGTGAGTACTGTTAACTATTCTGAGCTATTTTAATGCATAACTGTTTTTATTATTTTTAGAAAAAGCTTTTAACTGTTGAAGTGTAAAGTAGATCCTGTTACAATCATTGAATGACTTCTGTCTGTCTCTGAAAAATTGGTACAAGTGTGCTAAGCTATCTGAAGTATTTTAAGTAAATTTAATGGTCTGAGATGCAGATGGAATTGGATGTCCTCGTATATTAGTTGCACAAGGCTTGTATGCACATGCAGGAAGTAATTAAGAAAGCCAAAAGAATTTTTTTATTGTGAGTAGAATTGAAAACCAGAGTTAGGAGGTCATACTCGGTTGTACGCAATTTTGGTGAGATTGCACCTAGATTACCTTGCACAGTATTGAATGCCTAATTTAAAGCCAGATATAAATTTACTGGAAGCAGCTCAGAGAAGGTTTACCAAACCCAAACCTGGTATGGGCCTTCTTATGAAAGGTTGGATAGGCTAGGAATATATCTGCTAAAGTTAAAAGGTGGCTGTATTGAAACATGCAAGATGGATGTGAAAGGGGTGTTTCATCATGTAGGAGGATTTAAATGGGCAACACCCATTTTTAGGACAGCTGAGAATTTTTCTGAGAGATGTCGAGGCTTTAGAACTCCTTTATCAAAAGGTGATGGAAGTATAGTCTTTGAATATTTTTTGCATTAGAGTTGAATAGATTCTGATAAGGGAATGAAAGATTATCGGAGCAGACAGTCGTAGAGTACTCGGATCAGTCGTCATCTTATCCGATGATGATGCAGGTTTTAGGAGCAAAGTACCTACTCGGCTCCAAGTTTATGGTAAGTCCTCGCTTCAAGTTGCGGTCATATTTCTGAGAAGGGGTAGAGGATAAGTGAAGCCAATGTTAAAACTGTAGTGAGCTTTTTAAGGCTTTCTATCTGAAAAAAAAATCAAATTTAAAACATTTAAACTTTATAAATTTTCTGAAGAAAGGTCCTGACCCGAAGTGTCAGCTTTCCTGCTCCTCTGATGCTGCCTGGCCAGCAGTGTTCCTCCAGCTCCACACTGTTACCTACTTTATAAATTGATTTTTATACATCAAATTCCTATGTTAATAAAACTTCTGAAAAAAAGTTAAAATATGGAAGTAAAATTTAACTTGCTGCTTAACGGTACTTCCTTACCAGTGATCTCATCCTCCTGGTCATTTAGCTCCTCGTTGCTCCTTTTTTCAATAAAGTCACCTTTTAAACTTTAGCAGGTACGTGCCTAGCCTGTCCAACCTGTCCTCATAAGGCAATCTGCTCATTCTAGGTTTGGGCCTTTTTTTTTTTTTTTTTCCCCTCACTGATCCACCTGGTTGGCAATGCAAAGAGGTTGTAACTCCGATATCAACATAGCGTTGTAACCTCAATTTGAAGTGGTGAACGGCCACTAATTGGAGGTCAGGGAGCCTAGTTGGATGGCATTGGTAATGATGTTAAAATTAAATCTTACAACACTCGACAAGCATATAGGCCCCATTAATTTATGTTAGGGCAAAGCAATATTAAATGGAGTCTCCTTGATAGAGCACTTGCTGTATGCGTGCTAACTTTGCCTAACATCATTTGCCTGTTCAAATATTTCCGTTCCCCCTCCCAGTGCACTTTTGAGGATCACAGCATTTGCACTTGCTCACAAAATCAAGGAGAACATTTATTTGAATGTCAGCAGTATAACTGTTGTTTATTTTTAAATCTGATTCAGTGTTAAAAATACAATGCTGATGATCTAAAGGATCAAGGTCCCTATCTATGATGATCAGAAATGAGTCCATGTTCTGATCTGTACCTTGTAGCATGAGCATGAATAAAAGATGGAATAGATGTCCTGGGTGGAAAGTGCTACTTGACGAGTGGCAGTACAACATAGTGTGAAAATGCTTGTAAACATGAGCTGTACATTTTTTTTTTAATTAACCTTCAGGAATATAGCCAAGTATGATTAGAATAAGAGATAACAAGGTGTAAAGCTGGATGAACACAGCAGGCCAAGCAGCATAACCTTACTGAGCAAGTTAAATGAGATCCCTACTTTGAATTGTTCTGATTGTATTTCAGTGTAGTTATTAAGGATGCCTTGTAAAGGAGTATGGTGTGTGTTTTTTAACACATTACTAGTCAAAATGTTCAAAAAGCTAAATACGTCGATGATGAGTTCATCTGGTTGCATACAAGCACAATGAAGCTACTGATTTTTTTTCTAAACTTTGCATCTTTTTCCATTCCATGAAATAATACTTTGATTACCTGGGCATGTTTTCTATACTTGCGGTGAATGGCCCTCAAAACAGTTTAGTGAGACCTAATTTCCTTCCTTTTAACTAATAGAATTAATCCTAAGAAACTGTCAGTTGCTGAAGAATAATTTAGTTTATGCTGGGTATTGTTGCCTAATAATTATGTAGTACTTTAACAGATTTTTAATGGATAAAAGATTTTTTTTAAAGTGGGAAAAGACCAAATTTTATGGTCAGGTACAATTTGGCCAAAGTGGACTTGTAGCAGACACTTTTTAGGTAAATCTGTCAGAGCAGTGGGATGCGTTCAAGAAGGAAACAGGGAGAGTCCAGGGCCAGTATGTTCCTATAAAGATAAAGGGTGGGACCAACAAATCCGGTGAACCCTGGTTATCAAGGTACATACAAGATTAGATAAAGAGAAAAAAGTAGGCTCGTGGCAGATACGGAGGGCTTTAAACAGCAGAAATGCCAGACGAGTGTAGAATGTGCAAGGGGAATCTTAAGAAAATTGAGAGGGAAAAGAGGGGCATGAAATAATAATGGCAGGTAAAATTAAGGAAAATCTTAATTTATTGTACAAGTACACTTAAGGATAACTAGGGACAGAGCAGTGTCAGTTAAGGATCACTGTTAATTTGTGCGTGAAACAAGAGGACATAGGTAGGGTTCTAAATGGATTATTCTGTTGGTGTTCACTTGTGAGAGAGTCTGTCTATAGAAATAGATAGAAGGACTGTGATATACTTAAAGAATTAGCGTGGACTGAGAGGAGATTCTGACCCATCTGGCTGTCTTAATTATAGATAAATCTCCATGGCTGGATGAAATGTACCCTAGGCTGATGAGTGAGACGAGGGAGGGAATAGCAGAGGCACTGCAGTAATTTTTAATTCCCCCGCAGCGACAGGAGGACAGCTGTAAGATCATAGGATATGAGTAGAATAAAGCCATTATGCCCATTTGAGTCTGCTCCACCATCCAGTCATGGCATATGAGTCTCAACTGCTTCCTCCCTGTAACCTTTGGGCCCCTTCAATAAGAGCCACTGTTGTACTGTTATTCAAAAAGGAGCAAATGATAAACCAGGAAACTACAGACCAGACAGTGTAACATCAGTGATGTGGAAACTGTTGGAACCACTTCTGAGGAACAGAATTAATTTGCGCTTGTACAAGTAGAAATTAATCAAGAACAGTCTGCATGGCTTTTTTTTTTTTAAGGGGCCGCAGTGTCTGACTAACTTGATTAAATTATTTTGAAGCGGTAACCAGGTGTGTAGATGAGTGCAATACTTGGATTTCAAGGCTTTTGATAAGGTAAGAACCCATGGAATCCAAGGAATTTGGCTAATTGGATCCAAAATTGGCTGAGTGGCAGGAAGCAGAGGGTGATAGTCCAGGGTTTTGTTTTTGACTGGGGTTCTACAAAGATCACTGTTGGGGCCTTGCTGTCCTTTTAGATCTATATAAACAAGTTAGACTTGAATGTGGGAAGGTTGATCAGTAAGTTCATGGATGATACTGAATTAGTGGGATGTTAACTACTGAGGAGTTTAATTTACGGGACGATATACTGGTCGGTTGGGCTGATCAGTGTCAAATGGAATTCAGTTTGAGTGAGAGTGAGATGTTGAACTTTGGCAGGAAGAAAAAGGCAAACCAATGCATGATGAGTGGTAGGAGCCCAAGAAGCTCGGAGGATCAGAGGGAACTTTGTGTGTATGTCCACCGATCCCTTAAGGTAGCGGGACAAATACATAACCATGGTTAAGAAGGCACATGGGGAAATTTGATTGTTATTAGCTGAGGCATAGAATTTAAGAGCAGAGAGGTTTATGCTGGAACTGTATAAAAAGTTGCTTGGGCTGCAAATAAAATATTGTGTGCGGTTCTGGAATCTACATTATAAGAGTGATGTGATTTGCATTAAAGAGGATATAAAAGAAATTTGCCAGGATGTTGCGTGGGCTGGAGAGTTTTTGTGTTGAAGATGCTTTTCCTTGTAGCAGAAGAGACTGAGGGGGATATATGATTGAGATGTATAAAATTATGAGAGGCATTACAGGGTAGACAGGAATAAACCTTCTTTTTCCCCTTGGAGGGATCAGTGACCGGGGGCATAACCTTAAGGCACGGGCCTGGAGGTTTAGAGAGGATGTGAGCAAAACTTTTCTCTCCCAATTGATAGTGGGAATCTAGAACTCACTGCCTGTTTTTAAAAAAAAAAAAACAATTTAAGTATTTAACTATATATTGCAATGCTAAGGCGTGCAAGGCTATGGGCCAAATGCCAGAAAGTGAGTTTAGAATAGTTAGGTTGTGGTTTTTGCCTGGCACAGGTTTGCTGGTTTGAAGGCCCTTTCTCTGTGCTGTGGATCTCTGACTTAATGTGCGGGAATGATAATGTCTGGAGGCAACAGGCATGAGTAACTGTTTCATTACAAGAAGAACTGAGACTGGTTTGAGGAATTATCTGGATTAATTCAAAAGCAGAATATTTCAGGAATCTAAAGTAAAAGCAGAAAATGTTGGAATTAGGAGCAGAAAGAGAAACCAAGTCGGTGTTTTGGGTTGATGACCTTTCATCACAACTGGGAAATGTTAGAGATGTAATAGGTTTTTAACAAGTGGGTTGCCAAGCAA